TTTGATTTTTTATTATATTCTCCAAAATATAGTAACAATCATCATTTTGATCCCATTTTATATGAAGCAATCACATATTTTCCTTGACTGATGAATATATGCATACATTTACACTTAAAGAATCCATTGAGTTTCAATTATATTGACTGTGGCAAGGCTACTGTGAAGAAAACACTTTTAGGAAATTTATTTGAATATTTGGATATTCAAACAGTTCTTCCATTCAAGTTACTTTAACTGATTTATAATTTTCAGCCAGTTCCCTAGTTATATAAGGGATTTGGTCACATTTGGCTTTTGCTAGGTTATAAGTATTTTTGCATAAGTTCCTTTTAAGGATCCTGATTCCTGCTGTATGCTCTCAAGAAGAAGACATTGAAACATAAAATGTCTTGACTTTTTGTCATGTGATCTCAGGAAAAATGTAGGGTATCATCCAAATATACCTAATGAAATGTTAGTGTGGTATTAAATCAATAAATTCTGGTATTAGAGCATATGATTAATTTTAATTTTTCTTAGTTTAGATAGGTAATGGATAAATGATAGATAAATAATAGATAGTTAGAAGACAGATTATAAATAGGTGATAGATTGATAAGTGATAGATATATGATAGATAAATTGATAGATAAATAAATGTTAGGTAGATAGATAGATAGATAGATAGATAGATAGATAGATAGATAGATGGCAGATAGATATTACTTGGGAATCTCATTGAGGAGAAGGACCTGGGAAAAATATAATTTCCAAGCACACGAGCAAAATAAAGTTCCTTAGCTGTGTTTCAAGATCTTAACTAGAGCACTGAGAAATGAGGATATTTCCACTTATCCTCAGTCCTCAGCCTAAAGAAGTGTTAATGTCAAGTCGCTTCTTAGTCAACTGCAGTAAGTTAACCATGCTACCGAGTTTTGCTCAGATTTGTTTATAGAGATGCTTTCTCCTGAACTCTGTGCTTGTAGTTATAAAGAAGATTGACTCACAGAGCTCTCAGGGCATTCCTGCTACCTTTGAAAGTTCTGTTGTGGTCAAAGACCTTGCGCTTCACTCTGAGTTCATGCTGGGCTGAAAGAAATATAGTGTTAAGGAAAGCCACAGAATTTAGTGAAATGATTATTTAAATGTTAGCATTTGATATCTTCTAAACTTGTTAACGATAGATTTTCCCACAAAACATCATCTTTTACATTGGCCTCAAACTCAGCATGAAAGTGTTGTATCGTTTTGAGAGTATTCTCAAAGATCTTTGGGAAACAAACAGGTCAATAAGGCTGAATATATCTACTTGAAACAGTGTCTTAGAGTCATTTAGAAGGAAAGAAAAAGCAGAGGAAGCATTCATTCTCCCGTTGTAATTGCTCTATGATACTCAAGACCTGAGTGACACGCAGAGTTTCCCTTGACTGTGCTTCTTCTGTCTCCAGTGAGACATCCTTACCATCTAGTTTCTGCACTCCCTCATAGGCATGCTTCAGGTTTGCAACTTCTGTTTCCTTCCCCTCCCTTCCTTGCTCTTCCCTCCCTTCCCCTCCCTCTTTCCTTCCCTCCCCTCCCCTGCCCTCCTCTTCCTTCTCCTTGTCCTCCCTTCCTTTCCCTTCAGTTCTCTCCCTCATTCAATTCTCTTCCTCTTCCCTTCTTTCCCATTTACCCATCTCCCCTCCATCTCTCTGCCTGTCCTTCACTCTTTTCCATTTGGAGGCTAACAGAAAATGTCAGAAACCAACAGTGAGAAACTCTTTAAGGATAAATATATGATTAGAGAATATACTGAGGAAGTCATTTCATATTCTTATGATACAGTGACTTGAGGCCAGATTTCTTGTTTTGGAATGTAGTTAATGTGAGTGCTACCAAATCTCAGAGCTAGTGGCTGCTAAATAATAAGATGAAGTATCTGAAGGTTATGCACTGACATGATGAATAAGTTTCAGGCCAAGGATGGATAAAAGATGATACAATTTTTAAATGTAGTTATAAATTTTTAAAATTAAAAAATTTTAAAATGTAGTTATAGTCATTCATGTAAATTGCTTTCCATTTTTATTTAATCTTCACATGGCACAGGTACAATTACGCATGGCAATAGATGTACCTAACCTTAACTATGCTTCATGTTTTACTTGTTTGGCACAGTGGACTTTATAAATAAGATTTTAGACTTTCAAAATTGACGATTATGTAGTTGGTCATCCATTTACCATCAATATTAAAACAACAGAGAGAAAATGGTATCTATATTCTATAAATTTTCACCTCACTTCTTCAGGTCACTTCATCATGAATGATGATACAAATTGGTTGATACTAAAAAGTCTACTAGTCCAATTTCCTTAAACTATCTACCTTGTGGAATTTCCGTAATAAAATCTTAGTTTTCTACATACACAATAAATAGACAATAGTGATATAGATTTGTAAGAGTGCCCTAGGTTGGCAAATGTATGCCAAAGTGCAGACAAATGAGTCAGCATTCCCTAAAAGAACATGCATTTCAAGAATGAAAAGCAAAATGTAAAAACAGACATAACTTTTATTTTGCATGTCACTAGGTTACATAAGATAATTCCTATAGATTATATCTTTAATAGTCACCATACAATAAAACTTGAACCTTGAAAATAATATGAGCTCAACTCAATTAATTAAAAACAAATATACAAAATAGCCAAACGAACGGAAACACATGAACTATGAACCAATGGCTGAGGGGTCACCAACTGGATCAGGGCCTCTGAGTGGGTGAGACAGCTGATTGGCTTGATCTGTTTGGGAGGCATCCAGGCAGTGGGACCAGGTCCTGTGCTCATTGCATGAGTCGGCTGTTTGAAACCTGGGGCCTATGCAGGATCGCTTGGCTTGGCCTGGGAAGAGGGGACTGGACCTACCTGGACTGAGTCTACCAGGTTGATCTCAGTCCTCGTGGAAGGCTTTGCCCTGGAGGAGATGGGAATGGGGGGCAGGCTGGGGGGAAGGTGAGGGGGGCGGGAGTGGGGAGAACAAGGGAATCCGTGGCTGATATTTAGAACTGAAGTGTACTGCAAAATAAAAATAATAAAAAAAACAAATATACAACAGAAATATCAGATAATATTATAAAAAATTATTAGAAAACAAATTTGGTTACAAATTCTTCCTATTGCACAGCTTCAGTAGGATTTAATAGCACAAAAAATGAATTGCAAATAATATAAAACAAATTATTTCTCATTAGAGGCATACTTGGTAGGAAATAATATAGAGTGTAAATTTTCCTAAGACTCTAATATCTACTATCTTTCTTTTTGTACCTTTTCATGATAAGAAATGTCTATTTTGTTGTATCAAATAAAATCTAAGTGTTCCGTGTGGAGGAGAAGAATTAAAAGCGACACCACATAATATGATAAGCTTTAGCTTTTATAAATATGTGGCATTGGTTTTCCTGTTGTTATTGTTCATTGAAAAATAGTCACAATATTGGTATAAAATGTGACTAATTGAAGGAATCTTTAGTTGAACAGAACAAACAGGCATGAAAATATTGTCGTGAAATATATTATATAATTAAATTTTAGTTGTCATATAAGATAATGAGGTGTTTTAAATCAGAAAAAACTATAGTTAAAAATATATGGAGAAAAGTCTGTGATAGAGGCAGAGGTACATATGAGGGTGGCTGCTAGAAGATGCAGAGAGAAGGGTGTTCGAGGAGAATGGGTAGCCTAGCCGAGGCGCTTTGCTGAGCACCTGCCCGTTTTCAGCTACAGCGTGTAAGGCTGAGGTTAGACATGAGATCTAAACACACAACTCTATGGTTTTTTGTTACAGTTATGAAAAAATTAAAACTGCTTCAAGGGTAAACTAGAGATAGTTCTCAAATGAAGAAGCTTATTGGGTTGTCTTAATATCAAGGAAATATTTTGCTCAGACAAGAACAAGGGAAATGGTTGTCTGAAACAATATTTTCTCCTCTACCTGTTTTTGTTAATTGAGATTAACATCTTCGCAATAAATTTGTCCTGAAGTCTTGAGTATCCACAAATGAATAGCTGAAGGAGACAGGCTAGCTTTTGATTCTCAAAAGACTTTACTGTTGCAGCAATAGGGTGACGTTTTCAGTGTCCTATGATAGAGATAGAAAGAGAAACACACATGATAGGAGCCCTTATGAGACTGGATTGCCATTTTCCAGAGTGTATCGGAAAACTGTATAGCCTTTTTTCCCATTCTCACTCCTCAACAAATCGTGTCCTTTCAGACAGAGATGATTTCCTGTTTCTTGGTTAGCAACTGTATTTCTTTGAAAATATCTGTGTTGAGTTGTCACAAAAGTACTATAAATATGGTTTATTGGTTTATATATAGGCCATCAGAGACCACTATAATAAAATTACATTCAACATGAAAACAGCATTCTAAATTAACTTTTTCCATGCCACAGTATGTTCTCCTCATCATCAAAACTAAAAATGCTTCCATCAGTTGTCATATTTTTCCCAGGGAGTGATTTAGATAATCAGTTATGATTTAGTAACAGAAAGAAATCATTTGTAAAACATACACTTGAGACTTCAAAGAGTCCATAAAGCCTGCTAAGCTCTCCTCTATGCCTCCCAAGGGTAGACAATGTACATGAAAGGTCTGTCTAACTATTTAAAAATATTTAAACTTCAGGCATATTGCTATGCTAACATATTGCTTATTATAATGTGAAGTGGTTCAGTATCACTTAAACAAGTGTGTCTGTTCTTTAAAAAAAAAATCATTAAGAAGCAGCTGAGATCTCCTGAAAGTCAGCCTCCCAAGGTGGCATGTTTAGGATCTTTCCTTCATTGAAAATATTAACTGTGAAATTTCATATGTATGCAGTCAATTATCAGAACTACACAGTGGATAAGTTTTAGGAATGGCTAATCAAAGCCAATAAATTTCCCATTTGGGTGTGAGTGTGTGATAGTGAGCTCTAATAGGGGCTGTTGATAGACACTCACTAGCACAATTTCCTGCTTCATCAGAGCGTGTAACTGAAGTGAAGACTGACATCTTCGTCACCAGTTTTGGACCTGTTTCGGACCATGATATGGTAAGTGACACTCTATGTTTGATTTTTGGTGTTTAATTTAGATTTTCAAAATTAAAATATAATTACATCATTTCCCCCTTTCCTTTCCTCCCCCATTCTCTCTTCAAATCAAGATTTCCTTTTCTTTGACTGTTATTGTTATATATGTCTAACTGTGTGTGTGTGTGTGTGTGTGTGTGTGTGTGTGTGTGTGTGTGTGTGTGTGTGTGTGTGTGTGTGATTTCAGGGCCAACCACTTGGTATTGAATAACCAATTAGACGACTCATTCCTAGGGAAAACTAATTCTCTCCCTCTCAGCCTTCCTTAGTTGCCTATAATTCTTTGTCGTTTGGTAGAGCCCTGTAAGATTTTCCCCCTTTCATGTTAGCAAGACTACTGGTGTTGGAGTTCAGGTCTTGTTTAGGCAGATACATTGTTGTATCACGAGTGAAGCTTACCTGCCATTTCTAGTATTGCCATTATTAGTACTTTTAAAATCTGTATTTTAAAAGAAAAGTATAGACTATTTGAGAACCCACTTGAAAAGGCTGGGTTGGTCATAATTTTGTGTCATTGTGTGTATTATAACAAATACATGTGTATCTACTGACAATATATATTTTACAACATAACACACGCGCGCGCGCGCGCGCGCGCGCACACACACACACACACACACACACACACTGTTTCTGTGCTTATCAACCAACCACTACAGTATTCCCCTTTTCACCCCTAAAATGACTACTCAACTCAGCTTCTGTCCACAGGACTCCCCATGCCTCATGCCTCTCACTTCAGTTGTGAGGCCATGGTGATTCAAGGATATCAAATAAGACTACTATTCCAGAACAAGCAGCCATTTGTACTACCATGTCCCAATCCTTTTTGGATATATATGGAAAATGAATATCAAAGTTGAGAGAACACTTGACCCAAATTAAAAGAAAAGAATACTTGAGAGGGAGAAATACAGGACAGAGAAATGTTCTTTGTTGCAAAACATGCACCAAATAATTTCCAAAAGTGGAACTGTGTGTGTCTGCCCTTCCTTTTCCTATAGAACATCTTTGAAAATTTAAAAGGTCTATCAATCTTACCAAACCATGGTAAAGAGTCCACTATGAATATTTCAAACACGTATTATTATTATTAGATGTCTTTTATTAGTACTTAATGCAAATGTGTTTTGATTTCCTAGTAGCTTAGGGATAACTCAAATAAAAGTTGCAGATTTTCCTGGTTTAAAAGGAAACTCAGATTATTCTGCCTGTATCCTTACAATGTATACTTAATCTTGGCATTCTCTCTCACTCATTCACAGGCTTAACTACATGCATATTGTCATTATGCAAGTCCTGATTACTATAAGTTGATACAGCCTGGAACTTCTCAAGCCTGACTCTTGGAGTAAATACAGCTGAGTTAAAGTCTCACCATCATCCACATTCTCCCATCAAATCAATATAATAAAATCAAGTTCATATGAAACAGAACATTAAGTATTCTGGGCAAAATTTTAAAAACCAAAGGCTCAAAATCCCTCAGATGTCTAGGTACCCATTCATGTAAGATTATACATGATTTAAATCACATACTCAACATCCCCCCACCCCCTCATCCCCACCCCCACATGCATGCTTATTCCCCCCCACCACACACACTCACACACACTCCCTTAAAGGTCATTTTCTCATTTCTATACTCATCTAAACCCTATATTTTCACAGGGGACCAAATTGAGAAAGAAAAGCTTATCATTGGCACAATACCAAATTAAGTCCTTGTATTTGTGTTTCAATCAAATTCTTTGACATTGAATTCAACACTGCTCTTGGCTACATGCATAGCATTGCTTGGTGAAATTATTTTTTTATTGCAAATTAATGTCTTATTTTCTTAAAGTGATGTGAAAAGTTGCAAAGACAAACATGTCTTACTGATGTCACAGTGTGAGTGCATTGCTCGTTTAAAGGGAGTAAAGAATTACTAGTTGCTTGATGATAGAGGTAGGGCCCAGTTCCCATTAAAAATTAAAAATTCTGACTGGACGGCGGTGGCGAATCTCTGTGAGTTCGAGGCCAGCCTGGTCTATAGTGCGAGATCCAAGACAGGCACCAAAACTACACAAGGAAACTCTGTCTCAAAAACCAAAAATAAATTAAATAAATAAATAAATAAATAAAGCTGAATTCTTGTGGGCCAGTGTAACCTGAATCCTCTTCCTTGACTTCTGACTATTTTGATAAAGGAGACAATGGAGTAAAGGGCATGGGATTAGAATAACATGTTGTTTGTTTTTATATTTACTTTTAAACTTATTTATTTACAATAATTCTACCTTTGTCTCTTCCATTTGGCAGAATGCCTCACGGTGTTAAGGGACAGTGCCCAAAGGGAACCAAATGTGAAAAATAAGTAAATTCCCTTAAAATAGTAAGCCTTAATTATTTTTTATTTTAAAAATATATTTGGGTTTATTCTTTTAAGAATTTGATCCATCCACCCCTGTTCTTGTCTCTCCTCTCTAAGTACTACCACAGCCCCCCAAGAGTCTCCTTTCCAACTTCATGTACTATTTTGAACCCGCTGAGTCCTGTGTGTACTGACAATATTTATGATTGTAGAACTGTCCGCTAGACAGAGCTTGGGTAGCCAAGCAGAGATCACACTCCACGAAAACTGATTTTCCCTCCTCCAGCATCCACCAGTGGCCAATAGCTCCTCAGCTAGGGGCGAGGTTTTGTGAGTTCCTCTTCCATCTGTGCTGGATATTGACAGACTTGACTATGCTTTTCAGTTACTGACTCAGCTTAGTGGACGTTCAAAGGACCAATGAAGTTGTGCTTTTGGCTTAGAATAAAGGTACATAATAGTATTATTTCTACTGGCCAGTATACCTATAGCAGTCAAATTTGCATTTCACGTATAAATTTCAGGGAAAAAAAAGAAAAGAAAAGCAGAGGATGTACAGAAGCTGATCTTTCTCATTGCTTATAATTTCTGAAACATCAATCAAGTTGTTTTGTAAAAGGATCAAATTAGGCTTCACAACTGATTTGCGAAGTGGATCCTGGAATGTGTACCTGATCTTTTGCTATAGAAGATTATTTAAATTGTATTATGGGAGGGAGATTAAGTATAAAAAGGAGTTTTATTTAGAGGCGATCAACGTTTGAAGAAAGAATGATGAGGTTACTTTTTAAAAACAGGAAAAGCTTTCTCTATTTTTTAAACAGGAACTGATAAAATATCTAATTAGTAATAACCGTATTTGAACTTGTCATTACTGAGTGTTTTCAAGGTTCTAGTACATTTTAAATGTTATTCTATCTAATCCTCATTTCAAACCCTTCAGCTCAATAATATTCTTATCTGCATGCTCTCAGGAAAGGAAAGTGACCCACTAGCTAAGGGTACCTATTGAAACCTGAGCAGTCCATCCCTGAAGACTGCTTAGCTCCCAAGGCATCCAACTTCACCTAGAATAAAAAACAAAATGAGGTCAGCTCCTTAAGCTTATTTTAAAAACCATTAATTGGCCATCAAACAGTACATTCCCATGGCACTAGGCTCTGACAGAAATATCCAGGCTGCGCAATCACACAGCCTTGCTTTCTGTGGTGCTTAAAATGTATTAAGTCAAGGCACATACAGATGTTAATAAATAGCATGAACCAGAACACTTCAATACGATATTTATTTAGGTACAAAGTTGATGTTTTGTCCCAGATCTTGAGAATAAGGCTCATATTCGCCAGGGACCTACTCTATTAAGCAGAGAAACTTGGGGAGAATTTTCTCTTATGAGGTGGAAACTGTAATCCCGAAACTTGAATAAATCCTTCAGAAATACTTTGCATTTATTTAATCTTTTCTACTGAGTCTCGTCTTTTGTATTCTGCTTTTGTCTGTCTGCCTTGGTTATGACCGCTCCTCACCTTCTTCAAGTTCCCATCCTGTAACTTTTCCAAAGTCACTTTTTCCAAATAGCGCTTTTTAAAAAAAAACCCAAGCTATAAAGAATTCTAGTTTAAAAATTGTGCTGATAAAATTGGAAATCAAATAATAGGTTCTGATTTCATACCCATACTCACTAATACTATCGATCTTCCCTAAACCTTATTTCAGCATCTCTGAAAAGGGAAACATGGCTCATATTGGCCCAAATGGTAATTCTTGATTAAATAAATTGTGGTCATGGGGGCTAGATCATATTGTATAAGGACATCCTGGAAGTTGTTTACTGCTACCATGTCAATCATATGGATAGGTTCAGAAAATATGAGACAGAGTGTTTCTATTTGTAGTTAGACAGTATATGGTCCCAGTCAACTACTTTTGTTTAGGTTTTTATTTCTCCTCTAACAGAGAAAAGGAGAGATTATATTTTAAACTTAGTGTTGCTGTGTGTGTGTGTGTGTGTGTGTGTGTGTGTGTGTGTGTGTGTATCTGTGTGTGTCTGTGTATTATATTTGAAGGTGAACTTTCTCAAAACTGGGGAAAAGGGGTTTCACTGTCAGCTTTCAGCATAGATAAATAAAACTGAATGGAAATATAATAAAAACATAAATGTTAGGACATGGACAATATTGACATAGTTTTTGGGGTCATTGCCTTTGGGCATTATCTTGCTGAAAATTTAAACTCAATCTCTTTCAAGTTTAATTTACATTGAACACTTACTATATTTTCAAAAACTAACCAAACCCAAACAAACAAGCAAAATCTTCCTTAGAGCTAGGAAATGAAGCAAGTGTTTCATTTCATTCCTGAGAACATGATCTGTTTAAGTATGCTTGGGATCTGGATTTACCTGTAGACATTCTCTGTAGTTCGGACCAGTCTAAAGCCATTCAGTTGTATTGAGAGCAGTTGGCTATAGCTAGATAAAGAAGAATGGAAAAGTCAGCAGATATGGTACCTCTGTCTCAGAAGCCTGCCTGTTATCTAGACAAGGAGACATATGCACAAGGAGACTAGATATAGTATGAATAATAAGCACTGTTCTCATGTAATGTTGCCTCATCATCTGATCCACAATCCCTATCCTCCATGAGTTCTTCTAGTAACAGTCAAGGCTTAAAAATTTCTCCCTCTCCTGAGTTTAATGGATGCTTAACAAATGTTTGCCATGAATAAATTCCTATCATGTGTCACAGTGACTTCCATCTGACACTCCCTGACACAGAAAAGCCTAACAACAAACATGGTAACTTGTCTGGCCTGTCTCAACAGAATAGCATCATTCACCTCCTTCTTTATATGTCAGTCACCCCAATTAGCTACACGGTGAATTACACATCCACTAATGATGTAACTTTATGGATCAGTGATGGCTGAGCAATATCAAACCTCTGCCCGAAGAGCGGACATACATCCAGACTTTACTGCATTTTGTTTAAATTCTAGGAAAGAGACAGGTAGTTAAAGCCATGCACAAAATGCCTAAAGACAGAAATTATTTATTTTATATGTCCTAAGGATGACATGTATAGGATTTTAAAACAGCTGCTTTCAGAGACACCAAGCTTCACAGGACTAGGAAAACGTGGCATAATGTTTTCCAGTCTCCCCACTCATCCTTTCTGGTTTTGAGTATGCTAAGATTAATGGAGAATGTGGTAATCTTTATTTCGAACCATTGAGTTCTAAATTTAGTGCCAATGTAGCAAGTACTGCAAGGAAGACGAACACTATCCTTTTCAATTTCAGGAGCTGGTAAGTCACATCGCTTGTTTTTAGATGAGCAGATGTTCGTCTCTGGGTAATGCCATAAGGAATGCTCTGCTTATTCAAATAAATCGATTCCCTGGCTGTGAATGATGATGAGGTTCACACATCTCTCATGTGATATACACACACATGCGATCACTAACACACACACCTCCACACTTTGCATTCTTCTCTCTCCCTTCTCTTTGGAACAAAAGTCCAAATTAACAGTGGAAATCGATTAGCTTCTACCACATTTTTATAGTCTTGTTCACTATGTAGGAGAACTGGAAGGCTACATGCATTATTTTAGAAAAGAACAGGAAACAACAAGCCATTTTCTTCGTCAATGGATTTTTACATCTGTATCAGCACCATGATTGGCTTGAGTTTGAGTATGAGGTTTTCAAGGAACACAGATGGGCCTGTAAAATATTATGTTTTGTTCTTACTCCTGAAATTCATTAACTTAAATATTCTTCTTTGCATGCAACCTGCAAATATGAGTTTATTTTTTATTATTTTTTTTGAGACAGGGTTTCTCTGTGTAGCTTTGCGCCTTTCCTGGAACTCACTTGGTAGCCCAGGCTGGCCTCGAACTCACAGAGATCCGCCTGCCTCTGCCTCCCGAGTGCTGGGATTAAAGGCGTGTGCCACCACTGCCCAGCATGAGTTTATTTTTTTAAACTGTCATTTACTATTTTCATTTTTCTATTGTGACAAAGGGAGTTTCTGTTTTACTTTCATATATCTGAGGAGAAAATTGAGAACAATTTTTTTCCCATAAATCTTACAGATTGTTTGTGTGTATCTCTGTGTGTGTATGCACATACATACATACATATGTTAAAAATTATTACTAAAAGCCATCAGTGATTCCTCTAATACTAGCACATAAGTGCCACCACACATTTGCTTCTGAGAATGTCACCTAAGCCACACTGAGCTTCCAAAATCTTATTTGTAAGTTATGTGTATGGCAACATGTAACACTGTGAACTCTGCTCTTTCCCCCAAATTACCCAGGAATATACAATAGATGTGTTTTTCCGTCAAAGCTGGAAGGATGAAAGATTAAAATTCAAAGGGCCCATGACAGTTCTTCGGTTAAACAACCTCATGGCCAGTAAAATCTGGACTCCCGATACCTTTTTCCACAATGGAAAGAAGTCTGTGGCCCACAACATGACCATGCCTAACAAACTCCTGCGAATCACAGAGGATGGCACGCTGCTGTACACCATGAGGTAAGGACAGCCTTGGTTCCTGCAGAAAACTGTCCCCAATCTTGTTCTGCTATAAGAACTATGTCATCAGGGTGCTAATGGGCCATGATTGGTCTTTGAGCTTCCTGTTGTTTTAGGCATTAAATTCATTCTGCTAAGCAATAGTAATGCTATGAAATAGCATCCTTGCATGCATGCACGCAATATTAAATAAAACGTAAATGAAGTCTAGGTTAAGTAATACAACATTGCAGAGGCAGTATTTCCAACTTGTTTTAATTCAAAATGAGGACCTTTCAGTCCCTGTTATGAATGGCATATCTCCCTGAATTCAAATTAGGTATAGGTTAAATTTCTAGAAGCTATCAAAATTTGAATATTTGATAGTAATATTTCTGCAAAAAATGAAGACAAAATGAAAAATATGACTATACAAAGTTCTTTTTTTTTTTTTTTTTTTTTTTTTTGGTTTTTCGAGACAGGGTTTCTCTGTGTAGCTTTGCACCTTTCCTGGAACTCGCTTTGGAGACCAGGCTGGCCTCGAACTCACAGAGATCCGCCTGCCTCTGCCTCCCAAGTGCTGGGATTAAAGGCGTGCGCCACCACCGCCCAGCCTACAAAGTTCTTTTAAAAATTCACATGGAACTATGTATGGGAAGAAATACATGATTTCTCAAATAGTATTCTTAGCTAGAGATAGTTCATTTGGCTTAGCCTGAAGACTGTATGTGTATGTATGTGTGTATGATGTGAAAATTTCCCCCCTTTGAAATGACTGAAAAAAAAACATGTCATAAGTGTACAGTGTCTTAGAGATAGAATGAAGGAAGCATGAATCACAAAACCAAAACTATTAAATAATTTTTATAAAAGGACATTTTTACATATTCTTAACTTGGAAACTTTGAATGGTCTATGATTTATTCTTTGATTTTTTTTATTAAAAATTTTCTTTTTGTTCAAATGGAAGTTGGTTGCCCAGTATGACTATTGATTGGAATGGTCAGTGTTTGCTATATTTGGTTATTTCTTTCATTAAAATTTGGCATCTGCCTTCTGTCCCTAGCCTCACAGTACCTATGCCCAACCATTTCATTAAACTGAGATATCCAATCTAACACTACCTGTTCCTAATTCCATCTAGCAATTGCAAAATTCTTTCTCTACTAACAAATAATTAAGAACAGAGGTTTCCTTCTCATATGAAATTCTGACTTTTCATATAAAGCACCTGAGATAACAAGGCAACAACTACCACTTCCAACCCCTGTTTTCTTTCACCGCTTTTTCAACTAAACGCAAACAACACACATTAACGGGGCTGGCTAGTCCATCTTTAGAAGAATGAAAAACTATTAAAAATTTCTAATTGTCCAAAGCCTTCTGAAGAAGTCAGCAAGAACTTCCTTCTCCAAAATAATAATGAAAAACCTCCATTGAAATATGTGGGTTTTCACATGGAAGATGTGCATTTGCAATTTCTTTCACACATAGAATTCCTTTTGACCTCTCGTCTTTATGAAGTTTCCATTCTTGTCAAGTATTTCAATGTGCCAGGATGAGCTACGATTCAGTTAGTGTGTGCTGCTTCTTAATATCCCTCTCATTTCAAGTTGCACTACATATGTGTAAGCTGCCACAGCTTCAGCTGTACTAATCACAGTAGTATCAAAACAGGAGAGATCTTATATGGAGCAAAGGGGCAAGAATTTACAAGTACCACAACCTAAGCACCTGTTTCAAATCTATCTATCTATCTATCTATCTATCTATCTATCTATCTATCTATCTATCTACATATATTTCAATGAATAAGTTTTTAGCAATTTTTTTTAAAACATGAATATTATGTCTGGGTGGTGGTGGTGCATGCCTTTAAGCTCAGCACTTGGGAGGCAGAAGCAGGCAGATCTCTGTGAGTTTGAGGCCAGCTTGGTCTACAAAGTGAGTTGTGCAGAGAAAGCCTGTCTCAAAAGCTAAACAAACAAATAAACAGAAATATAAATAGAGTTCACATTCCCAGAACATGTGATATACATGAGAAATACAGTACAGACCTGCCTCAACCTGGCAATGGGTTTGTAAATAAAACTAACTGTTGGAAATTCAGTCATACTTCATAAAAATCATCAAGGAGGGTTTGCACCTTACATGAACCACAGTCTCACAAAGCCTAGGGACACTTTCTACTTCACCTGCTCTATTTCTGTCCCATTTGTTGGTGCTATTTGGGGGAAAGATCGGAGAATGATTAGGACAGGAGGACTATTCTTGGTATTGCTGCCAATGTCTTTTTCTCAATCAAGGATCAAGTGGCAATTATGCACAATATTTTATAAGTTTTTTTGTATCTTTAATTGACCGATAATAATCATACACATTTAGGCCTTCAAATATGATTTAAATTTAGGTATACATTATTTAATAATCAAATCAGGAAAATTACTATATCCATCATTTGGTTATGCAATTATATTTTTGATTATAACTACTTTAATTCTCGGAACATTTCCCATAGCCAGATGGATTAGTGGATGCTTTCTGTTATAAGAAACACCAGTAATGTTTTCCCCTTCTTCAAAATCCAATCTTGTTGATTTTCATAAAGTAAACAAAGATTATAGAAAACAGTCATGGTATCTTAAAAATCTTTCAAGATAATTTGATTATTGGGAATATAGCATAGGTGTACATTTTATGTCCATCTAATCTGATTCGTTAATATTTGCTATAGTTAATAACATCCTTGTCTAATTATCATCAAATGTCTAATCTATAGAGCTTTTGTTTGTATTCTGTTTCCTTAATTGATAAGGCTGACGGTGAGAGCTGAATGCCCAATGCACTTGGAAGACTTTCCTATGGATGCCCATGCCTGCCCATTAAAGTTTGGAAGCTGTAAGTAAATTTACTTTAAATTATCATTATTCTTACGCAAGATCTATGAACTTAAGCAAGAGATTTCCAGTTAGTTATGGTCTGTTGGAGAGTCACAAATACATCAAGAAAATTAAGACAGCAATATATTACAAGAGTTGCCTATGAGTAGTAGCCCTTATATGCTTCGTATTTTCGCTTTTTAAAAAGGATTTTATTTTTGTGTATGTATGTGCGCACCTATATATGCTGGCTAATTTTATGTCAGTTTATACATGCTAGACTTATCTAAAATAAAGGAGCCTCATTTGAGAAAATGCCTCTGTAAGATCCACCTGTAAGATATTTTCTTAATTAGTGATTGGTATGTGTGGGTTCAGACTATTGAAGGTGGTGCCATCCCTGCTCTGGTAGGTCTGGATTGTATAAGAAAGTAGGCTGAGTAAGCCATGGGAAGCAACCAGTAAACAGCTCCCCTCCATGGCCTTTGCATCAGCTCCTACCTCCAGGTTCCTGCCATGTTTGAGTTCCTGCCCTGACTTCCCTCAGTGATGAACAGAGATATTGTAAGCTGTAAGTAGATACAGAGAATTGTAAGCTGAAACAAACCATTTCCTCTCCAAGTTCTTCTGTCATGGTGTTTCATCACAGCAATATCAGTTCTAACTAGGACACTATATGAATGCATATCATGCATGCATGTGCACCTGTGGAGGCCATAAGAGGACATCATCAAATCTCCTGGAGCTGTAGTTACAAGTGGTTGTGAACTGCCTGATTTATGTGCAGGGAACTAAACTCAAGATCCCGAGAAGAGCAGTGCACACTCTTAACCACTGATCCATCTCTCCAGCTCCCATGTTATTTTTTTTTTTTTACTAAAATAGAAACCATGGATTAAACCATCTAGTAGAAAAACATATCAAGTAGTATTTGTGGAAAAGGGAAAATAATCTTGGATCTCATAGATACATTTTCATCCCAATAAAAGGGGATTGCTGTATTTACTTTACAATGTCTGACAAGGTTTTAAGAAAATATTCATTGGTGGCCAAAAACAAAATGTAGGTGTTTTTCTTAATAGAGTCATGTTAAGGTGATATCTAGAAAATAAATTATTGACATTATCATCTCTAATTTTCTCCAGTCAGTGTGACTGTCCCATGGAATTCATGAATGTATTTATGCTTTTGTTTTCATTTGATGGTATCATAAACACATCTCCATTGTGTTAACTTTATGAATTCATACTGTTTGAAATCATCACGGAGTACCTATGGGGGGACAAGGGAACTTTGGGCTGTAGAGCTGGACTTTCTGAGCTACTCTTTCCCCTTTGATTTCTGACTCCAGTGCATACATGGAGTGAAGATAATGTATTCCCGGCTTCCTGCAGGGGGGGTTCTGACAGGGACTGAGTCAATCCTGGTTTACCTAACTGGCTTACCCTTCCCACAGGACAGGCAGACTGAGCAACTATTTTGGTAAAATATGATTCATAGAAGAAAAATAGTGATAGTGTAGGATGACAGCAAGCAAAGAAAATAGCAAAGGGCCTTCATGCGCCTCGCAGCTCTAGTCATGGGGAGACATTGTTCTCTATTTATAGATCACATTCTATCCTGAAAACTCAAGATTAATCTCTTCCAAATCTTTCAGCTAAACAAGACTTTAGGGAAGACTGCCTTTTTGCACCCCTTTTTTGTTTTAATGTGCTCTTTACATAGTTGGCTCTCCTGTTCTATTTCTAACAGTGATGCTATTATTTGTTACTTGGAGATCAAATAGTTCATCAAATTTATGCTCCCTTATAAGTTCTCCCAGTCTACGATGTAACCTTAGGAGGAAGATCACCCACTATATTATTCCTGAGCCAGTGCTGATCCATCACCACTACCACAGTATCATTACCAATAATGTCCCCAGATAAAAGTATTTTATTCCCAACTTCGATTAGGCTTCAAATGTGTTCTTATTTGCTCAGTGAATTACAGTTTATTTTTCAGTAAGGTTTGCTTCAGTAGTGTGGACTGAAAGGAGAGAAAGAAAAGGGGCCACGCACTTTCATATAAGATGTGTAAAGGTCATTGTTGGTTGACGTCTGCTCAGTCCCAAGTCTTAACAAAGAGTGTCTTTACATGAAGTTCCTCATCACAATATGGCACCTCAAGCACCTGCATCTGCTTTCAGGGAGATGGAGAATTGTTGGTAAAGAAAATAAGAAATTAGTGGCCACACCGATCAAAGCTTTCCCTAAAATCCTGAGAATCATCTACCTATATCTCAGTATAATAAAATGTGTTTTACTTTGCCTATGTTCTCAGAAGAGGTTGGGCAGAATGTTTTCATATAGACACATTTTCATTTGAAGGATTTGGAAGGTATTTTACAAAGGGAATGGATCGTGAGGAGAGAACAAATAGTGTAGCATACAAAAAGAATGAAGTTTAAAAATGCATAAAGCAGTTTTGCACCCGGGTGTTTGGCCTGTGTTCTTTCCTGTTCATGTTGCTCTTCTCTTCGTAGCATCTGTGTGGATAGCCTTCCCATCTTCCACATCTCAGCATAAACAGCACCCCTTAAGTTTCTTCCTGACAATTCTGTAGTAATTCATGTATGGCACTATCAATTTTCTTGGTCCTTTTCCCCTGCTTATTTTTTATAACATTTGCCCCTGTATTCATTATCATTTTTTGTTTGTTAATGAACACTTTTTATTGTGTGCAGATGACTACAACTTTTATAAGAGCAGGATATATTTTATTTAACATTTTCTGTTGCAGAGGTTAATAGGATTCAATAAATATGTATTTATTGAATAAAGAAAGATTATACTAACCAGGTTTTAAGTGCCTTTTTGCTTTTCAACATTTAAGCAGGTAGAAAGAAGAGGTCTGAGGAATGAAAGGAAAACATGGAACTCTGGCCACTGAGGCTGATAAAAGGCACTGGTACTTCGTTTTACAGCTCCTCTCTTGACATTAAATCAAGGCTTTAGTGAAGTATTAACACTAGGCTACTTCTTAACCTCAACCAATGCCTTTTGTTTTACCATTTCTTACTAGGGAATATGATTCCTTTGAGATCTTGTCCTAAAGTGTTTGACTATGCAGTTGAAGACATTTGCCAGCTTTTACTTCCTTCTATTTAAGAATTATCAGTTCACATAAACTATCCTTGTGCCTTCCATCTGTCTTCTCTACCATAAAGCATCAGCTTGCACCATGGGAGTGCATTCTTCATTTAGGGAAATTTCCAGGAGGAGCTCTAAGTAGTAAGTGATGTAAACCTTCACTGCACTGCGGAAGAGGGCTTATGCATGTGCTTACACCATGGTATTTCTAAAAAGTGAAGCATGAGGCACCAAAGATAGCACACCACTTTTCCCGCTCTAACTATATTAGCATTCCAGAGACAACCTAAGTTATAAAATGATACCATCCAGCCACTGTTGCCAACAACTGTACAATATAGTAGCAGGAGATTTAGCTTGTTCCAAAATGGCACAAGCTCTAGAATTAGCTTCCTCGACATTTACAGAACTAGCAGACTTCCATGGCTTATGTACAAAGTGGACTATCTTTTCTAGAAAAAAAATATTTCCAATGAGATGGAGCAGAATAAACAGCATCTTAAGCTCTTATCTCTGTTTCCCCACTAAATAGTGGCATGCCATGAAAAAAATATTTGGTTCTGTGCCCCACTTTACTGTCTACAAAATGTGATGAAATTATGTGGCCATTGAGGCTTTTTGAAGAGGTACATTCAGTCAATTCGCACTATAATAAATGCAGTGTGTCTACTTCAGTAAGAAAAAAAAGAATTTGCTATGACCAGAAAGTAATATATTGCGTCTCCAAATTGTGTGCTCTGCCCTCTTCTAAGAGCCTTTTAAAGTCTAATTTTATAGCTTCTTCATTGATAAAATTGTCCTACTCTGTATCATGCTAAGACACCTTGCCCTTTTACCCACTGAAAATAGCCACAAGAAAATAAGGAAAATATTAAAGTCTATGGGGGCAAATTCTAGATTACTCATTTGTCACTTAGAGTTGTCTCAAGATACATTAAATTATTTTCTCTCAAACTTACATAAATGTTTTCTCAAGAGATAACTGATATTAATTGACTTATAAGTGATGATGGGGCAGATGGGATGCCACCTAAGACAGGGAAGCAAGATCTCAGTTTTCCTGCTTCACTCAGCTCAGAGTAAAGTGACATTCCAAGTTGTGTTTCAAAGTCAGAGTAGGTTTTGCAGAGAGCATCATTTTCATATAAAAGGCAACCATAATTTAATATCTTATAATATTTTAGCTTGGGGAACACATATTTGTACACAATTCTCAATCCGGAGTTTAAAGGTTGTATTGAACACATCAGTGTTAAGAATTCAATGAACTCTAAGCATTTTTGTCTTTTTCGGGGAGGGGCATTCCTCCAAAGCATAATTCAAATTATAGTTTATAACTGTTGGTATAAAGATGAATACATGCCAGTTTAGGTTATATTGATCTTAGATCTTAAATAAATTAAAACATTTTTGTAGCCTTCTGAAAGTGGTTTGGTCCCTGGGAGGGGTGCCAAATGTGACTAATGGATGAGTTGGCCATTGGCCAGTGAATCAAGCTTGTATCATAAGGCCAACCTTTGCTGTCATGACCTCCCATCAAATAATCTAAAGCAGCTTACTCTTCCTCATCTGATACTCCTTAAAATGTTAACATCATTGTGCATCTAAACATAGGATGGCATTTCAGCCCATGTGAATTGGGTCTTCTGTGACTGGAAAAGAGAAAAGCTGTGAAATCTTTTCTTCCGTCTTGCTACCTTCTTTTCTTCCTTCTGTCTATCCTTCCCCCCCTCACTTCCTTCTTTCCTTCATTTCTATCCACGGGTCTCTAATCTGAGTGGATTAAAGATTTACGAACGAGAACCTCATACGGGAGATTTCTGGACTACCAGTGATTTGGCTTGTGACCATGAGTGAGAAGGAAGGTTTTGTAAGGTAACTTATCACCATCTTCGGCAGCAGCATCATGATTGTGAATATCTATACAAATCATCAGTTTAACAGGATGTCAGTGTGAGCCTCTGCAGTAACACTCTTCCATTTACTGTAAGCTTCCCATGACTCAACGTCATATGTACCCAGGGTTGTTGGCGCTATCTCACTTTAGGTCTCATGCTTTCTACTGTGCATATACTAATCTTCTTTAACTGAGTCATGCCTTTGTCTGAAATAAAGATAAATAAATAAATAACAACAACAAAAAAAAAACATATTGCCTATTGAACAAGTTTTTTTTTTTTTTTCCCCTCATGATCTCTGTTCTGCCCACCTTCTGTTTTTAGGTCTCACATTCATAAAAGTGTTGACTTGAACTTCTCTAAGTCCTTTTTCATACCTAAATGCAGACTTTCTCCCTCCATCCCTTCACCTAGTAGTGTATGGCTTTCTTGCATTAAACACTGCCGAATTACATCTTTATTTGGCTATATGTTTGTGTCTCTGTTACGCCAATATAAGTCACACAAAATCAGCCACCTTGTGTATGTTTATTATTGCAACACTAGCACAGTGCTGTATCCTTTGTATGAGCTTAACATGTTAGGAGTGGACAAGTGACTGAAAGAAAAACCTCAGAAAAAAATATGTATTTACGTTACCAAGCAACTGAATATGAGCTTTCATTTACTGGCTTGCCCTCTGCAACAATGTGGTAGAAAATATGAAGCTGATGGAACAATCAGCTCATTAGGAGGAGTCAAGAGGCAAGATGCATAACTATGCTCTTTTTTTCTCTCTCTCTCTCAGATGCTTATACAAGAGCAGAAGTTGTCTATGAGTGGACCAGAGAGCCAGCTCGCTCAGTAGTTGTGGCAGAAGATGGGTCACGCTTAAACCAGTATGACCTTCTTGGACAAACAGTTGACTCTGGAATTGTTCAGTCCAGTACGGGTAAGTTCCATCTGATTATTCTGGAGATGATGAAAGGAAAAATATCTAGTGAGAATGTAAGAACTCTGACTTTCTTAATGACAGAAAAGTCAGGAAAGGAGTGAACTCTGGGCCTCCAGTGCTCTACCTGCTGTTCAGTATCTCTGGCTTACCTTGATTTCCATAATAAGCTGGTTCTGTATGATCAGGGCAGCCTGGGATATAAACAGAAAACTTGGGATAAAAACTGTTATGGATGAAAGTCTGTGCTACGTTGTCATGCCTTACAATTTTCCAACGGATTGTAGGAACTCTATAATATGTTGGGAAGAATAAATTAAACCAGTGCAGATGGTTGTCTGCAAGTCTTTGCACACAGTGTCCTTACATAAATACTAGCCGTATGTAGTCTCTAGGTCCCACTTATTGTCATACATCAAAGGATTGCATATAAATTTAAGCATTGATCATTACACACAGGACACACACACAAAATAAATTTCCTTATTTTCTGAGGCTAATACCGTCTCACACCTAAATTCAGTGGAGGTATACAATACTGATCATTCCATTTGGGAATTAAAAGTAGATAAAGTTTGATCCTTTTAGTGTTGAAGCCAACTGTGTTCAAAGATTCTAAGGTTGTTAGAGTTAAGTAATACAAGGGACCATCTTGGATTATTTGAAATCTGATAATAAAAAAATTACTAAATTAAATTATTAAATAAATTAAATTATTAAATAAATTAATTAAAAATAAATTAAATATGGGAAGTAAAAAATCAGAAAACTTATGCTTCCCCTCAACGTTCTGCATTTTAAATGTGTTCAACTGATAAAATATTTGTCAAGAGCTAATAATTATTTTCATACATATCTTACAGAAATTTAATTTATTTAATGAACTTGAATTTGTAAAAAAAAAAAAAGTGACTGAGTCATGTACAAAAACAATGATGCTAATTTTTTATCAAGAAACCACCACCACCACCACCACCACCACCACCACTACCACCACCACCACCAACAACAACAACAAATAATAATAATAATAGCAAAAAAAACTCTTCTGTTTTCAGATTTCATTTTGAGACCCTAAGAATGTTAACATTTTCAAGCAATAGATCAATCACTTAATTTTTTACATAAGATGTGACTTTTGCTTGTTTAAAAACACTTCCTTAGGAGCTAAAATACTTATGCTTCTTGTTTTATAAGATGAAGAGCTGCCCACAGCTTTGCCTTATTAGAAATGCCATAGCATGGTGCAAAGCCTGTCTCTCTACTGTTAGGAGGATGTGGATAAACATCCTGGTGCTGCCACCAGAAGTCTGGGGATGTTGGGCGGCTTCTTTCTCCAGACAGAAACTTTCCCTCCATTTAAGGAGTCAGAATAGAATACTTTCCATTAACAATGAGATAGTGGCTGGGGATGTTTGTAGTTCACTGTGAGAGCACTTGCAAAGCATGAATAAATGTCAGGGTTCTATCCCCATACCTAAAAAGATAACTAGAAGTGGGTGTGAAACTCTAGTATAAAACACTGAGGAATATCACACAGTAGATGCTCAGATTATTGCATAATGGCCGTTGCTCCAGTCTTAAATTCTTTTCTTTTCTCTTTTCTTTTTTTGTCTTACAACATGTGCTGAAAAAAGATACCCAAATAAGCTCTGTTTACTTCTTAAAAATGGATGTTATGATAAGTCAGGTATCATGACTAGCACTGGAGTTTCAATGATAGCCACAGCAAAGACCTTGCTCTTATGGAAGGCAAAGTCTAGGCTGGATGAACACATAAACTGTAATTATCAAAATGGGTGCTAAGTGCTGTGCTAATGCTTTTGTTAGGGCAGAGATCATTTCCATTTTCTTTATCCCTATTATTTTCTGTAGTAGCTATGGCAGAGGAGGCATTGAATAAATATTTTGTGTAAATAAGGGGAAAATGTAGCTTAGGCTAATTGAGGAAAGATTTCTATAGGAGGTATATTTTCATGTTGGTAGCATATATCTTTGTTGGAAAACAGTAGCCAATATTCTAGGTCCTATGCATTTAGTATCATATAACACAAACCCACTTAATCTTTTATGATTGTGGTTGGTAATATCAAAGAGACAATCCCATTGCTGTAATTCACATGCAATAATATATACAAGTCTGGAAGACCATTTGGAGAAAAAGACTCTACTGTACTTCTATCCTTAATGACTTTGACCATACCATGACATCACTCTCCAGGACCAGATAGTACATCTTTAAACTTAATGGTTTTGTCAAATGATCCTTTGCTTACTAAAGAGTTATGCCAACAAATTCCAGGTATTCAGAGAAGAAAATCTAATTTTAAAAAAGGTGGACTGAGGCAAGGAGATAAGAGGGCAACACTTGGGTCACTGAGCTGGCCAATAGCATAGGTTGGGCTTACTTGGAACAGTCATTATGTAACTGAACAAATGGAATTATATATCCTTTGGGCCCACTTTAGCTCATCATGAATCCATCTCTGCAGGTTTGAGAGAAGGAAAAAAGGTTTTGTCAAGGTTGTCAATACTACATTTCACACCCCATTGTGGAACCCTGAAGATGTTAAGATAGATGACACTGAGTGCAATTACCTCCCTATTCCTGCCAAGAAACCAGAGAATGATGGCACTAGAACACAAAACAACAGTAACTAGATAGAAAAAGAAACCTTTGTCCACCTTAATATCCTTTGAGGGGCCTAGTCAATTCTAGATGGCCTTTTACAAGGTTAGAAAGTGGTATCCTGCTTACCTGTAAACACACATCATGTAATCCCAGTGAGATGCTTCATGTCCAAATACCTCTATATCACTTCAATGATGTGAGAAAGAGAATGGTAGAGATACTACCACAATATATGAGATTTTTAGGTCAGTGATTTACAGGTCCTATACAGCAAAATGAAATAACTGCATTGGTCATTGGGACAAGAATAACATCAGTATCCAGAAAAGAATAAGAAAGTAATTTGTGCAATGGTTTTAAAGTTCAAGGACAACTTGACATTATCTTGTTTTCCAAAGCAAATTTCATCACAAGGCATGTTAGTAAGCTTGGAAAGTAAGCTGTTTCTCCTCAATTACTATCTTTTATCCTTAGAAAAATGACTAAGAAAAATGACAGGATCACCTTTCTTAAATAAGTAGAGTTTTCTAGACTTTGTCTGAAAGATACATTCCGAGGTCAACATCATCAGGGATCATCATTCAGGGATCCCATCTGTAAGGCCTAGTGCATGATCGCCAGAGAAAAGACTTCTGTGGTTTTCTCGTCAACTAATTCATATTTCAAATGAGAGAAAAGATCTAGTTAGGCTAAGAGTTCTATTACTCATTCATGTTCCCTTATTTCCATGGAATGTGGAAAAAATTCTTGTGAACTCAGTGTTCAATAACGTTTTACAACTTGACTGAGGGTTGATTTCCCAAGTCAGAAAGAATATATATCTACTGCTCTATCCTTACACTGTAAATCTACCTTGGGTTTAAGATTATAAGTACTGTCACACACACTGTTGAATTTTATCCTCAGAGCATTCCAGGGAATAGGCTAGTTCAACAGTATCATATGATGTAGACAAATCAGGAGAGTGAAGTCTAAGAAAACTAACCACGGTGGTTAACAAACATTTGAGAAATCCACTTCTAAACTAACTCCAAATGCCAATTTGCCAAATTATACCCACTTTCATTCTTTTATTCTCCTTAATCTTACTGTGTAATGTATCAGGAACTTTGTCACTTTTTATTTACAAACTTCCCTCAGGGTTGGATGATTTCTGAGGATATTTAACTTACAATTCTTCTACACTGTTCATTTGTTATGCTGAGTACATACACACTTGATGTCTAGACTTTCAATCCATATTAAGATATAGACTTTTTTTGTTTTTCTTTCACTTTTAAATAATTATAATTTGATTCTGATGTTGCTGCCACTTCTGTCCTTATTTGAAAGTTTTGGGCCAATGCTCTTTAGATTTTATTTAATTTCAGGTGCTTTCACAACAGGAGAAGCCCTCCTGTTCTTTCCTAATCTCTCAGGAAAACACATTGTTTATAATATGGTATAATGTCAAATAATAACTCCCCAGAACCATATTCTTTACAGACTCTTCACAAAAATGTCACAGTACAAATGACAAAAGATGATGGAATATAGGTAGATACATATCTTCCTGACATTTTATGAAAGATGGCATTTTTTCCCCTTTAAGCTGATGACATTTTTCAGGCTATAGTAGAATGAATAGTTAGGAATAATAAAGTGTACTCCTGGGATGGTCAAGCAACATGAGCATATATCTAAGAAAGATCTCAGAAAACTGAGTTTTATCCTATTAGGATAGCTTGCTTTTCTTTCTATTGACCTTGAAGACATCACCAACAATATAAAGAGACACTCAACTGAAACTACTTAAAGTTGTGCATAGCATTCAAATGGAGATTTCAAAATGCAAACCTAGTTTTATTAATGAGTATAAAGAACACCTGTAACTAAAGTACCAAGTACTTAGTAAGTATTCAATAAATGGATGTTGTCATTACTACCAATTGATGAATGAAGGAATGGTTTTCTTCTGTAACACTGGATGCATTTCTTTTGTCAATACTTCTCCAAGTTCTGATATTGGTGAAGAATGAAGAAAACTGAGAAAGGAACTAAAATTTATTTTAGGGTTTTTATGGAAGGTCCTATTAAAGGAGTTATTCTTCATTCAGTTACATTGCAGTTTTATTATTGTACAGATAAGAAAACTGAGACCTCATGGAAAGTCTACATGAGGTGCCCAAGACTATATAACTAGAAAATAGATCTGAGTATCAAACTCAAATAAACTCATTTCCTTCCAAGGCTAATACAATTTCCCCTCAGGACATTCCTTGCCACCCTGCTGAGGATCTGGTATTTCGGCTTTTCTCAATCGATCAATGAACAAAATGTTTGGTAATAGAAGTCAAATAGAGTTTGCTTGGCAAAGGTACAGAGATGTTAAAATGTATGGAAAGGCATGATCCATGTTAATACAGGGAAGAGATTATTCCTTACTGTGTGCAATGCAGACCATTTCTATTTTCATTCTAGGGAAGGAAGCATCACATGATGTTGTTACCTAGTAGTTATGTAAACAGGTGCTTAGCTACACAAACAGTGGCTTTTTGTCAAATATTGTAAAGAAATTAGAAAATACAAGTTGATAGCAGAGAATTGATGTGGCTCTGACGAGGAAGAGCAAAATGTTCTTAGAGTCTGTCTCTCCTTTAGGAGGACTACAATTTTACAGAGAAGATGAAATGAAAGCCATGAAATATTTACATGTTGATATGCTGGTAGTAATCCCAGATAAACTGTTGGAACAGTGTGAAATTTCCTCTGGGAGGCAAGTTCCTCCTCCTTTGAACTAGAGTTTTAGTTCTCTCTCCTCTAGTGTAGGATTATTTGGGAAATTTAATTCTGTGGGGTCTATTGTTTTAGGGTCCCTGTTTCAGGTAAAATCTAGAAATAGCTAAATAATATGCAGTGCACAAGATAGATTTTAATAATCACAAACAATTATTTGGTCCCAGATGCAAATTGTAAGTTTGAGAAACTTTGACATAGATAATTTTATATGTTAGCTTTCTACTGCTGTGAAAAAATACTCAAGGGCAATATTTAAATTGGAAAAAGGTAGGCCTTGGCTCAGGGTTTTTCATATGTTAGTCCATGATTGGATGGTTCCATGGGTTTGAAGCATGCTGCATAGTAGACTATATGACACCAAAGCTGAGGCAGATTAAATCTGCTCAGCTCAAGAAATTTGGAATCTCAGAACAAGAGGGACTTGTGGTTATTGAAATTCTCGGGAGTGTTGCTAGTGTAAGCTTATCTTCAAGGACTGAAGAAGCAACCACAGACTAATGCCTGTAAGTTAGGACAGCAGCAAAATCACTCTAAGACAGAGTTATGCATATTTGCATACTTAGGCTTCCAGCTTCTTGGCCCCTGGGTTGTTCAACCTACATTCAGCGTAGGTCTTCACCTCTTAGCTCCCTGAGTCATTTCCCATCTTCAGAAACACGCTTGCTGACACTTCCAGAAGTGTGCTATACCAGTCCACTCAAGTTGGCTACCAAAGTTAATCATCTCAAGGGAATCTGTTTAGATATTTTAAGTAGGAAGGATATTATAATCACGAATAAAAGATCCCTATACATTTGAAGGTAGGAAAAAACTGGAGTTAGATGCCACTCGTGGCACAGAAGACAGCTGATAGCTTATTGTGATTAGTCTCCAAAAGAGATGGGAACAGTAACCATGAGAAAGTAAAGGCGAGCTGAAAGACGCTGCAGAGGTGAAATCAAATGTCGTGATAGAATTCTTTCCTTCTAAACCACCGTTTGATATGTGAAGACTAATCCAATATGTTATTGGCATTGATTAGACAGCTATGTGCTGTTCAATTTTTTTGAGGGAAGTAACCTCGTACGATTTTTTTTTTTCTGGTTGTGTAACTCAGGCTGGACTAGAACTCGCTGTTCTCCAGTACTGGAATATTAGGTACATAACTATGCTAGGTGAACTGCAACATGAATTTTAAACATAACTGTTGGTGGAACATGAAAAGCTATTATTTGCCTTCTTTGAATTTTGGATTAGAAGTCCTTATTTTTAGAATCAAATTAGTTTCACTGCCCAATTGGCAGGCATTTTTATACCCCCACAAAACCAGTAAGAAGAGAGATGGAGAGTATTCTTTTCAACCAAGAAAGATTAAGGGAGGGACCTGAGGACAGAGGGATACCTCATTTATTTAAGAATAAAAAGGAAAATGATGATTTGACCCATAACTCAGTAATTTATGGAGGAAATAATCAGTTACTAAGAGAAGCCAAAACATAAAAATGAAAAAAAAAATGTTTGTGAGAGTGTGTTATCGAGAAGGGAGATTCATGACTGAATTCTATGAGTCGAGTAAGCAGCCATGTATGAGACTGATGAATAATGAGCCAGGATATTTGAGTTATGGAGGACTTGTAGTCACATTACAGGAGCTGAAGTCAGATACCCAGGGGTTGTTGTTAAATGATAAATCAAGTACCGAGAAGTCTAGAATGGGAAGAAGGGGGCTGGTAGGGAAATATTCTAAGAGAGATGAGGATTTCTTATTCTGAACATATCTATTTTCTCATGTATTCATCCACATATAGATTCTATGTGGATCAGGTTGAACATTTTAAAGATTTGCAATTGAATAAGGTCTAACGTAAAGAAAAATCAACCCTTCTACGGTTTGTGCTGTTGAGCTACTCTTTCAGACCAATAGAACAGAAAAATCTTAGAGAGTGCCTAGTATTGTTTCCCAGATCAGACTAGGGATAGAAACAAACCCTAAGGGTGCTTATAGAGCTGTGGATGCTGTGTAGCTTGAGGACTTGCCTTGTGTGGGGGATGTCCTAGGTTTCATCCCCAGTACTGAAAAAAAATACTAAGAGGAAAAGAAAATTATTATTATCAGTATAGATGTCCTTGTAAATTCAAAGAATGCTTTATGTGCCTGAATATTTGAGAGTTATGTCTTCCCAAATATTAATAGCTGATTCTGGGAAATAAATTTTGAGAAACAATGGAGTTAAGCTCAATATTAATTTTCTCTTTCTGATCAAACTCCATCACTAATCTGAGATTCAAGGAAGTCTTGGAACTAAAATTCAGCTGTCCCAACTTTCATATCAAAGCACCTTCAGCTGACATCCCAAATCTGTTTTGCAAAGGCCACACTTGAAACCAGGTCTGGTTTTGTTTGTTGGGCTCTCTAAAACATCACTTTAAGGATCAATCTGGAAATATAAGCTCAACTTTATCCCTTAGGTATATGATACAGCAAGGGTAAAAGGAAGGACTCACAAGAAGATTCTAATACCTGTCTTGTCCTCAGAGAGAATGTTTCTTTTCTCTCTTGGTCAAAGGCCTTGCCCTCTAGCATATTAATGTCATGTGGAAAACAAGATGTGTCTAACCTCTAGAACTTTGCTTCCTTTGAAACCCTAAGGAATAACTTCTTTTCAGTGGCAAATTATTCAAACTTACTGTCCATTTCACCCTCTAGGAGAATATGTGGTTATGACTACTCATTTCCACTTGAAGAGGAAAATCGGCTACTTTGTTATCCAAACTTATCTGCCATGCATAATGACAGTTATTCTCTCACAAGTCTCCTTCTGGCTCAACAGAGAGTCAGTACCAGCAAGAACTGTCTTTGGTAAGTGGCAATCAATATATATGTGTATAGGTCTAGAGGGCATTTATTCCATGATTGTGACATTGCAAAGAAAATGAAAAAAATGTCACTCTGTGTTCAAATCTGAACTTTGTATGATAAAAAGTTTTGAAGAATTACCATTTCTATTATGGTGTGATTTTAAAACTTGTGTTTTTATACAGAAAACTGTTTTGTTAATACAAATAGAATGGCTTAATATAAATTTAATTTGGTGTTTTGACATAGAAGACAGTGAAATAAACTTCAAAATCACTTACTAGATTAAAAATATAATAACCTAAAAATTTAAATCCTATATAGCATATGATTTTTGAGAATCTTAAAAAAATAGCAAGAATACTTTCTTATATTGTTGAAACCAGGATTGCATTAAGTAGGGAGAGGTCATCAGTTACTCTAGCAATAGACAGATACTTCCTTTACCTCTCAAGTACACCCCTAAAGAGTTAGAATTCTATCAGAGTCTCTAAAATAACCTGAGCATTGCAAGTTAAGGCAATAGAATAGAAAGATATTTGAACAGTAAACACCCTTGTATAATGTGAAAACCTACCTACTGATATATTATTTTAAAGTTTACATTTCATAGACAGGAGTGTTTCTTGACTGAATCCCAGCCACACCATCTCAACTGTCTTTTTCAGACTGATGAAAGCAATATTTGTTACAGTTAACTTATCCAGTCACTTAATCACTGAGCTTTTTTGAAGTGCAACAAGCTAATGGCTCTGTTCTGGAAATAAAATGTGGAAGTAAACTATTTGCCTTCTTGAAATACATGCTTGAACTTGAAATTTTAATGATCATAAAATATGAATAATTATGTGATTTTATACTAGTTGTTTTCAATGTGATTCACCATATTATATTATTTAAACCTAAAACATTTCAGACACTATTATTATGAACATCGTATTAACTTGAAACCAAATGAACACAAAGTTAAATTATTCATCTCATGTTAGGAGCTACTAGGTGAGGTGATGAGGAATTAAGATAAGGTATGAGCTCCAGATTCCTTGTACTTCATGGTGGCACAGAACCATCACTTTTGTTTCGTACTGCTACATTAATCCAGCACATGATGGGTTCACTCTGGTCTGTGTCATTCATTTAGAAGTAATAACCACATGCTCATTGGTGGAAGACATATTCATCCAGGTTTCCTCTACAAGCAACTACTATGTACCTGCTGTGTTGAAGGTCACATGTTCCATACTGAAAACCCTTTAAACATGTACAAATCAACTCATATGCAGAGATTCTGATGTCCCTAATACCCATGGTGTTTAAGGGATAACATATCAGTTCTTTCAAAAAGAGAAACAAATTCTGCCCCATCACACCAGGAGTGTCTTGTCTTCTGAACTTAGCAATGCTTGCAGGTTGAAAACCATCTAATTTGTTCTCTGGTCTTCTGACAACAGCTTAAGCACACAACTAAATTAACCTGCAAAATGACTTCCAGCTGCAGAGTAAATGAGCAGTTCATTTCAAATTCATTTTTATTTGTACCCATTTGTCAATGTTAACAACCATTGAATACACTAAAGACTGGCCTCCTGAGAGATTCTTAGCTCTGTATGGGCATTCCATTTGAGCCCTCATCACACCAGGAAATAAACATTGAATTAAATGCATGATTTAGGTTTTGGGTCTTGTTTTATTTTATTTCAGAAGAATGGAACCAATACTATAAGGAAATGGTTTTTTTCTTACCTGTTTTTCCAACCCAAGACTATCCTTTCTATTTGGAAATTCACCAAAGTATTTCAGTGTTTTATGAATCCAAAACACTGCTTATAACATTTTCAATGATCTTATACCACAACGACCAATGACCTTTTGGTGAACATAAGTGTACAATAGTAAACTCAGCTATAGCAAATATTTCTGTGTGCAAAGTCATATATTTGTGGTGTTTAAGTTCAATAGAAATTACAAATACATTTTTCCTAGCCCTTTAGCCCTTTAACATTTATTCAGTACATGTTTCTGTTCCTTTTAGCTTGAACTTAGCACATTCTTCTGCGCTCTGTGGATGTCAAAGAAAGTCCCTAGTATGTAAAGAAATATCAAAAGAGAAAAAATAATCTCACTAGAGTTATAACAGTTTGATATAAAGCAGTCCAAACTGAGGCAAAGCCGGTCTACTTTATGACTTGAAAATATGATCTTTTTGTCTTCCTATGCTCTCTTATTTGCTGGCAATGCCATGTAAATTTGCTGCTTAAAAAGATCCAAGCTTTAGGTTTAATTTTACCCAGTAATAGCTATATAACATTGGCCTTTTAAAATTCTTTGTCCGAGCTCCTATTTCTAGTCAAATGCAAGTACAAGGAAGGAAAAACAATGTTTAAATGGATCCACAGGAAAGGTAAAATAGTAATTGTCAGGCTTAACCATTGGAATTTAAAAGCCATGTAACACATTTTGTTCCTTTGCATTTTTATACAAGAGTAATTTCAAATCACACACACACACACACACACACACAAACACACACACACACACACACACACACTCACCTTAAACTATTCTGTATAGTCTTAGTTTACAGGGTTTTTGGGGTAAGATAATTAATTTCTAGATTACTCTCAATATTTGCATATCTAAACTGAACATTATGAAACTGGAGTTTATGATAGTAATGACACATTAAATAGAACCAGACATTTTCCTTCATAGTCATTAATATTTGCCTTAACCCTTTGGCTAAGAATTAAATATTTCATTTTATTATCTTATTTAATACTCCCAATAATACTGTGAGTTAGAGTTAATAAAATCAATTAGCAAGGCAGAAATTAAAAGCAACAATCCAGAAGCCCGAGATTGTGGGGAAATTGTCCCAAGGTCATTTAGCAATTATAGAGTTGGGATTTGGAATTGGGCTGCTCTGTTCCCCAATTACTGACTTTTAATTACCTTGCTATCTGCTCTAGTTAATATTGATATGTAAATTTGGGGGCAGTTTGCCAACTAATATTCTTTAGGTTGGTTATGTAATAAGGAACTTGCCCTAGAATTTTCTGAACCCTGTGCCATCCAAACTTAAAATAAATACATTTCCTACAATCCTGACCATATGTCAAGAATATCATTTAATAGATATTCTACTGTATTTCTTCTTAAGTATTTCATTTCCTATTGTAGTTAAAAGACTAACTATCGGCCAGGCGGTGGTGGCGCACGCCTTTAATCCCAGCACTTGGGAGGCAGAGCCAGGCGGATCTTTGTGAGTTCGAAGCCAGCCTGGTCTACAGAGCGAGATCCAGGAAAGGTGCAAAGCTACACAGAGAAACCCTGTCTCGAAAAACAAAAACAAAAACAAACAAACAAAAAAACCAAAAAAAAAAAAAACCCTAATTATCTTGATATTCTTGGAAAACCTAAGAACACTTGTTGGTTTAAAACAGATTCCAAAAATTTTCTATCAGCTGTGTAGCTCAACTGATTTTCTAAAGCTATCAACAGGAGGAGTTAATCCCAGATTAGGAATCATAGATTGACAGCTCCTTCCTCAGCAATGCAATAGTTATCATCTTCAAGTTATTTAATGTAATCCTCACAATAATGTGAGTGACTGCAAAGATGGTCCTTTCTGAGAATTTTAGTGATGGCATTGACAGTAGAGAGATTGGAGATGGAATTAGCCATTTTACAGGCATAGTGGCTTAGGTCTGTGAATTCATTTACCAGGGTGCTAATGTCTGGACCCTTCCTTGCAGTAGCTCAAGGTTGCCTGGTGGTGATTTTTGACCCTTTCTGGCAGGTTTGCTTTGAACTGTTTTTAAACATTTGTAAATTTTTCTAAAGGCATCTCAAAGCATTAAAGTCAGTATATGGTACCAATACAGTGTGTTTCATATGGTAGTTCAATCAACAGTAAAGAGTATCATTACCCACACTCTGTCTCATTGAAATATCTAAATAAATTAGAAAGAACCAACTTAACAAACTGTTTTGACTTTGAATATAGATCACCTAATCATTAGGCCTGGAATTGCAGAGTAGAGAAGATGAGGCAACATTAGAAAAAAGAAAGATCGTGGACATTTGAATCAGGCTTGTGTTTACAGACCAGATTTGCCACCACTTAGCCGCTTACTTTTAAGCAAGCTGTATAAAATCTATAAGCAAGTATGTGTACATAGTCTTTTGCCCATAGTAACTTTTATGTAACTTATTACACATTTACGCATACACATGTTGCTTTTAGGAAATGAGTAGCTCTTTTGAATGAGACATGGTATAGCAGGAAAGTTACAAATGTGGCAAATCAGCATTCCCCAAATTGTGACTTAGCTTTCCTCTATCAAGGGCTAATTGAGCTTCAAGTTTCTACATTTGGGACAAAGACTATTAAACACTATAAATATTTCTAGAATATCACAGGCAGTTGTTATCTAAGATTTTTACATCAAGAGTTGGGTGCATGGAATGATATTATCGCCTTTCTTACTCAGGATACACATACAAGATGCCTATTTAAAGAAGTTCACTGTTTCAGGAACAGATTCTCAATTAGCAGAGTAGTTTATCTCTTCCTAATGACCCTTAACATTGCTGTGCTATTGACCTTAGACTATACTGAGGCTACATCATGACTCTTCCACTACAGATATGATGCTGTTGGTACCCTTTGATCAAGGGAACAAGCTTAGGCCTGTTGTCATGACATTTTCTGCAATGAACCAGTGTATTTACTTAATTTCTCTCGTTACAGGAGTGACAACTGTTCTGACCATGACAACCTTGAGTATAAGTGCCAGAAATTCCCTCCCGAAGGTGGCCTATGCAACAGCTATGGACTGGTTTATTGCAGTGTGCTATGCCTTTGTTTTCTCAGCTCTGATTGAATTTGCCACAGTGAACTATTTCACCAAGAGAGGCTATGCATGGGATGGCAAAAGCGTGGTTCCAGAAAAGGTAAATACCACAGTGGCTCTTTGCTATATTAGGATTTTGAGGCCTTAAGCCTTGTAGATGGAATATGTTGATTTGTGGGTTTAGATGCAAGAGAGGAATGATGAGGACTCCTTTCTTGTTTTCTTAGACTGTAAAAAACAAAGTGCGGTGGATTAATTATTTTGTTATTGGACATTTGAATCAGGCTTGTGTTTAAAGACCAGTTCTGCTACCACTTAGCCACTTGCTTTTTTTTTTTTTTTTTTTTTTTTTTTTTGGTTTTTCGAGACAGGGTTTCTCTGTGTAGCTTTGCGCCTTTCCTGGAACTCACTTGGTAGTCCAGGCTGGCCTCGAACTCACAGAGATCCGCCTGGCTCTGCCTCCCGAGTGCTGGGATTAAAGGCGTGCGCCACTACCGCCCGGCTCACTTGCTTTTAAGCAAGCTGTATAAAATCTATAAGCAAGTATGTGTACATAGTATTTTGCACCTGGTAACTTTTATGTAACTTGCTACGCATTTGTGCATACACATGTTGCTTCTAGGAAATGAGTAGCTCTTTTGAATGAGATGTGGTATAGCAGGAAAGTTACAAATGTGGCAAATCAACATTGCCCAAATTGTTACTTAGCTTTGCTCTAGTGGAGGTTGTTTGGTTGCATCAATGTGCAGGTAGAGAGTAAGAGAAAGAAGGAGAGACATTCAAAGATGAAAGTATCTATTAAAATGTGCCTTCCGTGGTTTCAGAAACTGTTTTTTTAACAAAACAAAATAAAAATGTAATATCAAATGCAAAAACAAATCCATTATTTTTCTAGTCTTGTATATTTTTTGTAACAAAAAAGATACCCCTTTGGCTGTTTTCTGAGCTTAATTATTTCCATGTTTTAGTCTGGTTAATTTGAAAAATTAACTACCTTCAGCTTTCAGTAAAGTCAAGAGTAGGTATACTTTCCCTATCCTCACATAAAGATTTCCTTGATTTAATGTACACAAAACATTGGGAAGCCCTCTCCTACAGCTGCTGCCTTATGCAAATGTTGTAATGCACAAATGTAAACTACACAGGCCACTTAACAATTTCTAGTAGCCTTATTTTAAATGTATAAATAGCCAGGCATGTTGGCACACATATCTTTAACTCCAGCACTTGAGAGGCAGAAGCAGGTGATCTCTATGAGATCCAGACTAACCAAAGCTATATAGTGATACCCTATCTCAGAAAAGTAATCTAAAAATAATAATACATGAAAAAAGTATAAATAAACATTAATCATGATGAGATGATGAATATACTTCTTTCCAATATATACAATACATAAATCATACTGGCTTTGTAGTTGTAACCCATTGAGGACGAACACTGTATTATATTTTTATTTATACAAATCATCAAAATCCCATGCATATTATTATATTTAGTACATTTCAAGTCAGTCTAGATATATTTCAAGTGCTCAATATTTACACATGGCTAATGGCAACTGTGTAAGATCACATAACTCTGAAAAAGGACAACTGTTTAGGAAAAGCCTACTGATGGAAGGCCTATGAACTAGCCTCAAACAGTAGCTAGTTAGATGCTGGTGATTCTGAATTTGTGGCTGGGGACAGCCTGGAGTGTTCCTTTCATGTAATCTGGGCTCATTCACACTACTGTGATTAACTGGAGGGTCCACCAAAGTGGGGTAACATTTGACCTCCTCACATGCCTGAGACCTCAACTGGCTGTCCAGGAGTCTAGCACTCTATCCATTCTCAGGGTATTCTCTAGTCTATCCTGGGCTTCGTTTCTTGTTCAGGAAGCATCTAGAAGGGGAAGGCTGAGACGAAAATGTTTGAATCCAGTATCCTAAGCTTGCATAACATCCCTTCTATAATACCAAGTCTGCTTTGCATTCAATCCACGAAGGAACAGATTCCACCTCTTGATCTAAAAGGTTACAAACATCATCTGGCTTTTCAAATGGTGACAGTACGTTAGTCATAAATTACAGATTTTTAAATTTTTTTTTAACTGAACCATAGGGTTTAATTGGAGTTGCTAACACAAATATGGGTGAGGGATTTCCCACAGGAGCAGAAATGACTCAAAGACAGCTGTGTCACCAAAGTCCCTCACAACATGGATGACCAGACTTACAAAGGCCCTCCCTGCCCACAAATATAGAAACAGTGAGAACGGCTGAGAGACATTTTGACAAGCTGAGCTGTCTAGAAGAGGTTCAGATTTTTAGATTTTTAAATCAAGCAAAGATTTTGATTTTGCAGCAAGTGCTGTTTTGCTCAGAAACTTATCATTTTGTTCCTCACTTCTTGCTAAATAAATTGCCTTTTCTTCTCCAGCCAAAGAAAGTGAAGGATCCTCTCATTAAGAAAAACAACACATATGCTCCGACAGCCACCAGCTACACCCCTAACTTGGCCAGGGGTGATCCTGGCTTGGCAACTATTGCTAAAAGTGCGACCATAGAACCAAAAGAAGTCAAGCCTGAGACAAAACCACCAGAACCCAAGAAAACTTTTAACAGCGTCAGCAAAATCGACCGACTGTCAAGAATAGCCTTCCCCCTGCTATTTGGCATCTTCAACCTAGTCTATTGGGCAACGTATTTAAACAGAGAGCCTCAGCTAAAAGCCCCCACACCACATCAATAGGTTCCTTTAGTCGCATTCTGTTGTTCAGTCCTCTGCACCGAGGATCGCTTTCTGTTCTCAACGCAGTGATTCCTATCTGCTTTACTGCCTCTGTCTTAAAGAATCTGAAGGTTTCCTTATTTCCATATTTTATACAAGAACAAGAGACCCCTGTCTGACAGTCCAGAGCAGACAGAGTACTCAGCGTCGAGACAGGATTCTGAGAGGAAGTCAGGGAGCAAAATCATGTCAGAAGGTGACAGACGTGAGAGGAAGGGGGAGGGGAAGGAGGTCCCAAGATAGGACGAAGAGTAGAAGAAAAACAGAGCTTAACTATAACCACAGAGTCATTTGTAGATATATATTTCCAAATATTCTCAAAAAATATATATGTCAAAATATTTTTGTGTGAAGGTGTTTAAAAAACGACAAACGACAAATGTTTAATGAACTTTAAATTCATGTCGTTATTGCACAAATAATGGTGTGCTTATGTTTTTACTTGTTTCATGGTTTAAGCCGATATATAGATTTAATGTTTTGTTTGTCAACTTGAAAATCCCCTAGGCTTTCTCTTTTTCGATCTCACTACGTAATATTTTGCTGTTCAACGCTCTTTTCGAATTTATGGAAGTCTGACAGGGTAAGATGCGGCTGTCAAAGTAGCACTCTGAATCTGATGGAAAGAAACCCTTTTAACCGGCTACATTGTCGTCATCGGAGCTTTTGCCAGTAGACTATGGAGATCAGCAAGCCTAACACAGAAGTTTACTTGGTAGAAGAGGAAATAAATAAATTAATTGAATAATTTAGAAAACTATCCTCCCTTTTCACTCTTATTCCCATATAGCCCATTCATCCAAGAATCACTCTATTCTTATGATGAAGATTTTTTTCAGAAGGGCAAAACTATTTTGCAAGCTCTAGAATTGTTGAATGTATTCTTTTATATAACTACATCAAAAGCTTTAGATTGAAATTTATGACTAGCAAACAAAAAATAGAATATATAAATTATATATGTAAATATTCAGCATGAGATTGTACATTTAAACATTTTTTAAAAGTTATGTTCTTAAAATATCATTGAGGAATCTCCACTTTTAGCTGTTAGAATGTTGTTAAATGCTATGGAAATACATTTAGAGCCTGCATTTAAGAACAGAACAGCCTGTAGGAGACAGATGCCACTTAAAACATATTGAGTATGAAATCCAACTATATAGAGAACGCTCATAATTTCACTGTTGCCCGGTGTTCAATAGAAGATCAGTTGCTACCTGCTCGAGTTCTATCATACCATATTTTCCCTACTTTAGGCTATTGTGATAAAGAGAAAAAAAATAGGGAACAGTAGTTGGAGCTAGAAGACCAATTGTATATTATTTCTTTATTTGCTGATACCAACTATTTCAATAAGTGCTCTACCATATGTAGCATCCAATATAAAATACATGAAAGAATGTACAGGAACTAGCTTTTATTGAGTAATATTATTACATTTCATTTATACTGCAGCAATATATTTGTAGGTATACTATGTAAGGGCTTTAAATAAAAGAGGTCCATTAATATTCCTTATAAAAAAATTCTAGCCTTTCATTACTGCCCAGATGTTTTAGAAGTAAATATTTATGAAGAAGGTATTTTTGAAGTCTCCTTTTGTCTGATAGATTTTCACAGATATTTAACTCTAGTGTTCAGAATCCACAGATCATGGTCTAATCACATTTATAAGACCATGACATAAACCTTTTAGCATAATTGCCAAATAAGACAATTAGAATGCATACCTGAGTTTTGAGTGATGTTTTTTTTTCAACAAGCTGCTATCCAATGATTTTGGAAAACACACTGCTTGTGTTTCCCTAAAGATGACAAATCTCTGGTTTCATTTTAAATGTGCTTCATTGTTCGATTTGGTCCTGCCTAAATTTCATGAGCTATGCCAAAAATGGCTGAACCAAGGACATTTTGTGTATAGATATGTATAGAAAATAAAATAAATTATGGCTCTAACATCTGTGTTGCCGTTTATCTTGTTATTTTCCGACGTTAACCTAACATGTTTAGTGAGAGCATTTTATCTTCCAGACTCCTCATGCCTAGTTTTGGGTCTGTATTTTGCTCATTAGATGTGAATATCTCTTATTAGTCTGCTTACTGCTTTGCAATGATTGCATTGCCCTCATTTCTTAGTTTGTTAGTACATGTGAGTAATATTCTATTGTGTAAATTGATTGCAAACTTATCAAAGAGAAATTCTTCTATGTAGCTTTACAAGAGTGCTTTGCTAAACCATGTAATACTAGTTAAGTCTTCCTTGAAAAAAATAAAGATACACTCTTATAGAAGACAGTTCCTGTTGACTCCCAGGAATATTTTAAAAAGATGACACTGAATGTTTATGCACCTCAGTGCAGTGAAGTGGCAATAAAACCCAACCTGAGTCAAGATTGCTCATGGCAGCTGCATGTCTCGCTTTACAGCGTTTAGCAAAAGCTTTTAATCTCATGTCTCACTGTATTCTATTATAATAATAAAGCTTACATTATTAAATAATAAACTGGAATACTTGATTCTGTTTACACAACATGCAAAGGTCCATTCATTGCCCTGTTTAACGCATTTTCGGGCTAGAAACACCTTCAAGTACCAAGTAGCAACAGCAACCTGGCAACTCAGAAGAGTCTTTGAAGATGTGTCAATAGTTGGATCTTAAATTATTATTTGCAAATGATTGCTTAAGAACTAGAATTTACCAAATTATTGGTGTTTGATATTGCTAGTAACATTTGAGCATTTTTGAAACATACAAGGAACAGAACAAAATCCAATGTAGAGATAAAATTCTGTTTGGTTGTGATAGGTGAGATAATGTGGGGGTAATCTGTCCTTTGGTGAAAGGACCAAAATAATGTAGGTTCAGTGACAACAAATGCAGCAACCTCTTCAAACTTAAAAGAAACCAGAAATATTAACCATGTTATATAATATACAATAATATGCATTACTTGATCCAGTGACACCTGCACATGTAAACTGTGTAACTGTCCAGGTTCATTAATTTCTGAGCATATCTAGGAAGGAACACAGGGAATGATGGTTATTTGGCTAAGTAACTGGGTCCATGTCAAGGCTTCTCATAAGCATCAAGGGAATAAAAAAGGCTTAGAACATCACTGCCAATAATCTGTTCATTGAAATACATAGAGTTCTTTAAATTTATATACCATTTTTAATAAACCAAAACAAATATCTGACTTCATTCTATTGCAACAAGATTTAGCCAAAACAATTGCCTTCCAATGTTGATTTAGTTCATTGCAAGACCTGTACTAACATTTTCCAAGGCTTTTTGCTGTGCTCATCCCTTCTATTACACTAGAGAGGGTGAGAGAATATATATTTCATGTTCTTTTATTCTTTTAGCTGACAATTTACACTTAGTAATAACATAGAGTAAAAGTGAACATGAAGCTACTATACTTCCTAAGAGAACTATAATCATTGTACAGATGTAAAGAATTCATTTTTTGAGAAGGGTAAGAAGACATTTTTAAAATGAACTTGTTACCTAGATTGGATTTTGAAAGATAAATGGACAGCTATCACTCACTAGGAGGAGTGGTGAACGCTCTTAAAAGGAATAAATTTTTCATTTAAAAACATCCCATTGATGAATTAACATCATGGTGGGATACTATTCAGTCCACAAAAAGGTAACTTCCGTCACTTGTGACAGATTGTGTGATACTGGAAGACATTATATTAAGTGAAAAATCAGAACAGAAAGGCAAAAGGTACAGGGGCTCACATGTCAAATTTACGCACTATTAAATTTATACATTTGAGAATAGAACAGTAAGAAGCCAGTGTGACCTATCCAATACATTGATGGAGAGATTTATCCTATGGCTTCATGTACAGTGTTCCTATTCCTACACTTGAAGAAGTTCTATGAGATAATAGGACGATTCAGCTTGAGGATTCTGGAAGGCAATCTCTCAGTGGCTGTCACGCTTAAGCCTACGTAACATTGCCCAGAAGGGCTTTGTAGAACTGATGACCTGATGTAACCTATACTTTCCAATTCAATAAATCTGGATGAACCTAATAAATTTGTATTCCTAAAATGTCCCCAGATACTGCTGGCTAATGGAATACTGAATAGTACACAGGTGGGATAAGCATTACCCACCACTTATGCTATGGATTCAACAATCCATGTGAATGGGGGGAAAGGGACAGAAGGTGACAGTTCTTTAGGGGAAAGCATATGCATTTTTACTGTTAATGACAGAGAATTCAAAGTTCGTTGAAATACATCCTAGTGACTCTATCCCACTCAGCATAAAACTGGTAACTGTCAAATTGCACCACAAATGGAAAGATACATACAAGCAAAATGGAGAAATAAAATTCAATGAACCTGCTAAATCAGAGGAAATGTTTTTCTTAATATAAAAACTCGATTACTGTTGAAAGTAATATTGTTTTCCTCAATTTCAGACACCATAAGTGAAAGATTTTTCTCCTTCCTACATTATAGCCCAACTCTTTGTAGGTCCACCAGTAAATGTAATTATCCCTCTTTGTGGCTCTGTCTACTTTCTCCAAAAGCTCCAATTTTGAACTAATTTATGTGTAGGGAAACATTTCGAGGATATTTTCACTATTATCAGCTTCAACAGTGTTGAAAACGAATTGTGGATTGCAATAATAGAGATCTAGTGTTAGAGACTGGAAAATGTGCAAGCTGCATGCAGTCCTGCCTTGAAGTGTTTATGAAAACACCTTGTGAAATATAATTTGAGTTTCTTGATCCCTACTACCTCAGAGTTGAGCAATAAAAATTCCCTCCATAATACTATTGTGTGTTTCCCATCAAAACACAGGTATTCAGGCAAGAAATTGTGATGACTTAAGGATGTCTATATTGATATTCACCGCTTCTGGCTCAACAGTTACATTTCTTTTTACAGACTACCACTGAAAGTGGGTAAATTCTAGAAACTGATTATCCTTATAAATTCAGCTTTATTTATTTATTTATTTACTTACTTACTTACTTACTTACTTACTTATTTATTTTGGTTTTTCGAGACAGGGTTTCTCTGTGTAGCTTTGTGCCTTTCCTGGAACACGCTTTGGAGACCAGGCTGGCCTCAAACTCACAGAGATTCGCCTGGCTCTGCCTCCCGAGTTCTGGGATTAAAGGCGTGTGCCACCACCGCCAGGCTCAGCTTTATTATATAAATAAAATATAAAGAGAGCTACAATGGATAAGCCCTTCACTAAAGGTAGATCAGAGACCACCATGCACATTTCTCAAATTTTCTAAGAGACAGAACAAAAACTTCACTTTTTAGTATGGCAAGTACCACAGTACCACCTTAACACTTTACTCTTCTACTTTATGAATAAGAAAGAGTTGAGCCAGGTGGCATAAAAATCTTTTTAAAAATATAAATATTGGTACAGCTTTCAGGTTGGAGGTATTAAAACAACTTATTGAGTAGATTTGTGTTGTGAGTGGGTGTCTATCAGAAAACAGGCTTGACCTTGGGGATAGAAAGATGTATATAATAAGCCTTTTATTGCTGGAAGTCTCTCTCCCTCTTTTTAGACATAGGTGGCATATAGAGTAATAAGCTAACAGTTCTGTAAAGCACATTTGTATACAGTTTGATTGCTTTGGATGGTAGCTATTCAAAAATAAATACCAACATTGCTCAAACCTTAAAACTTGTGGCTTAATTTCTATTATGTGTGGCAGTGCTTGCAACCATAATAAAAAGCCTCAAGAAGATATTCTCAACTATCAAGGCCTAAGTTTAATGACCACCATTTAAAGCTTATTATGTTATAACGGCATGGATAGGCTTGACTGCGGCTGGAGGAAATGGCACAGGAAGGCCATAGAAGGTGGAGGCCTGATTGGAGTGATGTGCATGAGCTCCTGATGCCAGCAGAGCTGGAAGAGACAGGAAAAGAATTCTCTCCAGAATCATGGAAAGAGTCCAGCACTGACAACGTGTTGAAGTCTCTAGAATATTGAAAAAAGAGTTCTGCTGAATACAATCATCTTCTTGTGCTAATTTGTTACAATGACCCTAAGAAATTATTCCAGAAACATCTAGTTCTAGCTGAAAGGGTGCTTTCTTTCTCATAACTTAAACTCATTTTATTTCTTCTCTAAATACCAATATACATAGACTATATCAGACAACTATTAGCTAAAACTTAACTTTAAGCAGTTTACTACTGTGCTAGGAAGATGGTTCAGCAAACAAAGGCAATTCCCAAAACTGAGAAACTGAGTTCAGTTCCTGAACCAAGGCGGTGGAAGGAGGAATCTGTAAGTTGTCTTCTAACCTGCACACTGGTGCCATAGCATCCCCGTATGCTGCCCACCCCCACACTCACATACGCACACACTCACAAATGTAGTTAAAATTCTTCAAAAAGAAAAATACATTTATTATTCATCTTGTACACTAAAAGAAGTTCCTGTCTTAAATCATGTCATTGTGTAGCACATGGGTATTTAAGATTTCGTCAAAGTAATCCATAATGGCATAGGTATTCAGTATCTCTGCAGCATACCACTATTTAGAACCAGACAATTATCATGAATTAATACAAGCACAAGCAAATGTTATTTATAAGTTTACATTTTTAATAAAGATGGAAAGCACTGTCATGTTTTGTTTTGTTATAGATACACATATCTATGTTTGTATGTATGTATGTAAACCTGGATCTTTCTGGAGATGAGATGGCATCTTTGGTCAATATTTGTCATCTCATCCTTCACCTTTATCATATTCATCATCATCTAGCAAAATCCTAAGAAATGTATGTGGTTGAATAAACATGCCAACATAGAGAAGTACTGTTGTGAGAAAGAGGAACATAAATAAACCCTAATGGATTGTATTTAAACATTCATATACAAGGAACCAGAGCCACTTATTTTAGGAATGAAATTTAGGTCATGAAGTTGGAAAGGTACA